ACAATAAACAACCTACTTCAAACATCCTCTTTCTGGATTAGTAAATTTTATTTTTCCTTTTTATAAATGGATTTAATTGATATTGTGAAGTGTGTAAATAACATTGTTCCTCAGTTATATATAACTTTCAGAAGATCTAAAGGACTCTGTTGGTCATTTATTGTCAGGTGTACTGACATCACAGTAGTATTATACAATTTTATTTATTGATTATTTATTAAAGGGCAATCTAGGGTTTCCATCTGTGACTCTATCATTTATTATATAACCTTGTCAAGCTACATAACCTCTCTTGGCATAGTTTATTCATTCAAAAGAAAACATTGAATATTAATATTTTATGAAAATAAAATAGGCAGCCTACTTATTAATACACTCATGCAATATAAATATAATTATATTTTTATCATTTAGTAAGCATGTAGTAATTGATGTTAGATATTATTAAAGCCTTGTTATGATACACACACACACACACACACACATCTGTGATGCTTACAATGTTTTATCTCATCAGTCTTACTTTATGATTTCAATGCTTTAGCATGAAGGCACTAACACATTGGAATCTTTAGTATAAAGTTGGAAAATTTGGAGGTAGACCTAGGTAAATCTAGCACCAAGTTGGGTGATATATCTTCAGTATATACAATACAATACAACAATACAATAAATACAACAAATATAAATACAAATATATAAATGCAGTCATATTATTGTTTGATCCCAGTGACTTTCAATGTGTATTTGAAAGTAGTATGTTATAAAAAGAAAATTAGGCATTGTTTGAAGGATATTTTCAGTTGTTTCTACTAAAATTATTTTCTTAAAATTAATTTATTTGAAGCAACAATGGTTTATATCACTATATATGATTCAGAATAATAGGATCACATCTCCTCGATGCACATCACCACACCCCACCCACAGCAGAGCACCCATGTGTGTTTATGGTGTACCATTGGGCTCCCTTCCAATGTTGTCCCACCTCCTCTCCCCCAGTGGCTTCAATTCTACAGCCGAATTCTAGACTTTGTTTTGTTTCTCTGTATTCCACAAGTGGTAGAAATCATCTGATATTTTGCTTTTCCCCTTTGGCTTATTTTTCTTAGCACAGTCCTTTCCAATCCACTCATGTTGTTGTAAACAGCAGTTTACCTTTTAATAGCTGAATTATAATCCACCCTGAATAATAATCCACCTCATCTTTTTAAGTCAGTCATCTGTGTTGGAGATCAAAGTGATTTTTATAACTTAGCTATTATAAGTAGTACTGCAGAACATAGCAGTGCATCTATCCCTTCAAATTAGTGTTTTTGTATTCTTTGGGTAATTCTGATAAAATTAAAGAAAAACACTATCATGCAAACATGAAATTATGCTTCAATATCTTTACTTTTAATGACTTCACATACATGTATTGATGAAAAATAAAAAATTGAGTATACAACATTTTTACTGCAATGTTTCTTTACAGTTTCATGTTGCAGCAGGTACATTGTCTCATGGATCCCCTGGGGACTGGGAACCACACCACAATAACAGGATTCATTTTATTGGGCTTAACTGACGACCCCATCCTTCAGGTCATCCTCTTCATAATCATCCTTTGTATCTACATGGTGACCATATCTGGCAACCTCAGCACAATAATTCTTATCAGAGTCTCTTCTCAGCTCCATCATCCTATGTATTTTTTCCTGAGCCACTTGGCTTTGGCTGACATCGGCTATTCTTCTTCTGTCACGCCTAATATGCTGTTAAACTTCCTGATAGAGAGGAATACCATCTCTTATCTTGGATGTGGCATCCAGCTTGGTTCAGCAGTTTTCTTTGGGACTGCTGAGTGCTTCCTCCCGGCGGCCATGGCATATGACCGCTTCATGGCCATCTGCCACCCACTACTTTATTCCACCAAAATGTCCACGCCAGTGTGTGTTCAGTTACTTGTAGTGGCTTACATCGGTGGATTTCTCAATGCTTCTTCCTTTACTATGGCCTTCTTTTCTTTGTTATTTTGTGGGCCAAATGAAGTGAATCATTTTTTCTGTGATTTTGCTCCTTTAGTGGAACTCTCTTGTTCTGATGTCAGCATCCCCGCGGAGGTCCCCTCATTTACTGCTGGTTCCATCATTGTGGTCACAGTTTGTGTCATAGCTGTTTCCTACGTCTACATTCTCATCACCATCCTGAAGATGCGCTCCACTGAGGGGCACCACAAGGCCTTCTCCACCTGCACCTCCCACCTCACAGCGGTCACTCTCTTCTATGGCACCATCACCTTCATCTATGTCATGCCCAAGTCCAGTTACTCAACTGACCAGAATAAAGTGATATCTGTGTTCTACATGGTAGTGATCCCTATGTTAAACCCCATCATCTACAGCCTCAGGAACAATGAAATTAAGGGTGCGCTGAAGAGACAGCTTGCTAGAAAAATATGTTCTTACTGAAGGCTGTTACTTTGTAGTATTTTCTATAACATACCATAAATTAATTAATAAAATGAAACTATGCCTCTGTGGCATATAGAACTATCATTCTATATGTCATTAGCTAGTGTGGAGTTTTTAGGAAAAGTAGGAAGTGTATGTTTTGATATCAAGTTATAAATCAAAGACATATTGTAAGTTACATGGTAAAAACTGAGGTTACATTTGCAACCAGAAGCACAAATTGGTTTACATGAAAGAATCCATCCTTTCAAACCATCCGCTTTCTATAACATTCTATAACATGAATGTGGTAGCTATCATTCAAAGAGAAAATGACAACGCAGAAAAAGGTAGGAAATTGATGTCAGAAAGTTATCTGCTGGGGATGGGTTTGTTACATCCACACAATTCTGGCATGTGCACCCGGGCTCTGGCTCCAGACATGATACAGGGGACTCCAGGAACAAAGGGTGAGTTGTCATTTGTTATTTAAAACAGGCCCTTTCTATGTGGGGATGAGCAGAATTCCTGAAATCCCTAGAAACTGAAGTGCACAAACTCTTGGGATGATTTGTTCATGTGAACCTTTATCCTGTCAGGAAGCTGGTGGAACCAGATTGTCTCTTTTGATTGTCCCACGAGGGGCTTGATGAATTTCTGTGTACTGATGACAACCATGTTGTTTGTTTTTCCGGCTCCCCCTTTGATGATTCAGACACAAATTCCATCTTGACAGTCTGGAGGGCATTCATCATTTCCTTAACTTTTTGTTCTTTATACAGTCAGCAATCATGCTGAGTTAATCCTATATTACAGAAACTGTCACAGCCCTGGGAGTAAAGTTAAAAGCAACCAAAGATAATTGTTCTCAAATAATTTATCTCACTGCACATTAGTGTTTTTGACTATTGGAAAGGACTGGAGCTATGTAGAAGGAGAAAGTAGAACAAAGTAAGGAAGGCTAACCTATGAGCAGTGCCAGGCAGGCCTCACTGGGACGTTTCCTGTTGCTGTGGCTGCCTGTGGCTGGCTGTGCAGGGTGGTCTTCCACTCACTTGGGTACAATTGCCTTTGAGTAATCTGTTTCAATGAATGGCAAGCTTGGTGATTTTAATCAATCCCATGGTGACCACCACTAAAGTAAATGATAAAAATGTTAAAAATGTTTGAAATATCCCCAGTAGCGCCTTCAAGATAACCAGAATTTACCTCATGATAAACTCTGAGAACCAGAAAAGTGGATCTAACACTCAAATATGAGAGAATTGGGCAAGCCGGGAGGTGTTACTGACTTGGTCTGTGGGTTTAGTGTTCTTCTGGGAAGACAGAGGTGTCAGTCAAAGTCCAGAGCATGTCCAGGTGAGAATTCTGATTTATACACCTCACCTATGTTCTCCGGGTCAGGGTAGCCTGAAGTGACCAAGTCTTGCACAGTTTGCAGTTCTGGAGAGCTTGAGTCTCAGCCTTGAATTTGGATGTAAGAGGCGGTGCCTCGGGAAGCTGCGTAAACAGACAATTGAAGCCTTGGCTATTCCTACCAATAACTATTCCAGTACAATAATCAGTACCCAGTTGAAGAAAATGACCAGAATAAGAGAAAGAAGATACCAAACATGACAGTGGAAAGAACAAAGCATGGAAATGGAACCAATGAGATTTCAATATGGGAATTAATAGATACAGATTATGATATGAATTTATTTAAAATTTTCATATGCAAGGCACTAATGGGAATAAATCCTGTATTGTCAAAATATTTACAAAGATGTAAAACAATGGTACTTCAGTTATAATAAAGACAAATAATTCACCCTTATTTAGTTTAATTGAATTGGATCATCTATTACTTCTCATTTTCTGGATGTGTTTTCTGTGTTCTCTGTTCTGTGCTTTCATTGCCTTTTATAGATACACAGTTTAGTTATTATATTTTCAAATAGAATTTCCAAATATGAAAGACATTGAATATATAGGCACATAATATACAAATAAATATATAATCATAGAAAACCAAAAATAATGAATATATATTGAAGATATTTACAACACAGAAATCAACTTCAGAAGGCACATTATTTTATTTTAAAGTACATTTTTTTTAATTGAGCAGGTTTTTAAAAAAATCAGTTTTCAAATACCTAAGATATTGCCTGTAAAATACAGCAGTAAACCTAGAAATTAGTAACAATAGGTTAAATAGAGAATATGCACCTGGCAAGGAATTCATGCATTGTTAGATATCCATGGGTCAAAGCAAAAATTAAATAAAATTAGAAAACTGATTTACAAGAAAAAAATACTACATAAAAAATTTGTGCTAAAGACGTATCACTTTTTAGAAGAAAACTTACACCAAAAAAAAACAAAACAAGCTGAAGTCTGCATTACCCCGCCCCTGAAAAGACTCGCTGGGATGACGCACCACCTCCCTTCTTGAAAGCTGCCTCTGCGGCCCTAGCCAGCCCTCCCGCCCGCCAGGTGTCCAGCTGCAGGCTGGCTGCAATGGCTGGGCTCTCACTGCCCTCGCACTCCCTGCCCCTGGTCTCTCCCACACAAACCACTGACCTGGGAGTCAGATCTCTGGGAAAGTCCTGTGTCTGACAATGAAGTTTTGAAATTTTCTGTGAGTAAATGTAATGTTTTTGTTTGTTTAAGTTGTCCTTAAGGGAGAGGGTCAAACAAATCTTACTATTCCCCCATGTTGTGGAAGAAGTCTTTAGTTCATGTCCCTTCTTAATTAGATTTCAGTTTGCTTCCCTTCTATCTATCTCACAAAAATCTGATCTATGCATGTCAGGTGAAGACCCTATTGCTCAGTAACAGTAACATCCCCCAGGCTAAACTACAGATTCAACACAATTGCTCCCAACATTCTTAAAAACAGACCTGCTCTAGGACCCAGCAATTACACTCCTAGTATCTACCCATAGCATACAGACACTGATTAGACTTGAACTCTCATGTTTATTGAATCGCAATATACAATAGCCAAAACTATGGAAACAACCTAAGTCTTCCCTCCCCCAAAATGAGTAGATCAAGAAGATGAGTATATATACATAATGGAATATGATGCAGCCATCAGCAAAGATACACAAGTCATCTGTAGCACCATGGGTGGAGCTCAAAGAGAATAAGCTAAGCGAAATAAGCCAAAAGTGGAACAGTAAGTGCCAGATGATGTCACTTATAAATGGAATACACAGAAACCAAGCAAAGAGTCATACAAAAACAAACTCTAAAACCAACCAATAAAAGTTGACCTTAGAAATCAGGAAGGGAGGGAGGGAGCACTCAGAGGAATCTCCGATCCTGAGTATCGCACTTGTGCTGAGGAGCAGACTGTAGGTTAGCCAGTTTTAGGAGATACAGTGGAAGGTTGATGTGGGGGGAGAGAAAACTGTAAGTCAGGAGCCAGCTGGGAATCATAGATTGTCACTGTGTCACTTATGTCTTGAATTTTTTTAAGTTTATATCAGCTCTTTATTAGTTGATTCACTTTTAAACACTTGTACTTTTTAAAGTTTATTTTTAGATGAAGTACTTTTTTCTTACATCATGGTTATTTTTTGAACAGTAGTTGATTTCACCCGTCAAGTTTACTAGGATTTGACTAGCCTGTGTAAGAGGAAAGAGTGGCTATTCCAGCAGTCTGTCTGAAATGAACTTTTTTCCCAAAGATTTATTTATTTATGCATACAGAACTGGGGTACAGGCCAGAGGTGCAGGGGCGGTCAGAGGATTCACCAGAGACAGAGTGGGGTATTGAACAGGCAGATTGATGAAGTACTGGTGAATCTCTGTCTCTGGTGAATCCTCTCACCACCCCTGCTCCTCTGGCCTTTACCCTAGTTCTGTGTGCAAAAATAAATAAATCTTTATAGGAAAAAAACAGGAGATGAGCTTATGTAGAATGAAAGAAGCTGGGTTGTCATCCTATATTTGAAGTTTAGTATTCTTTACCATAAAATATTAAAATTTGAGTCAGATTTGGTAATGAGATAATTTATTATTCATTGTCCCAGTAATTTTCAAGTGAAAGTGCACCAAAACCTTAAAAAAATAGAAAACTTGAGATTGCTTGAGAATTGACAGAACTCTTAAAAAGGTTCATTGTGTTTGTGTGCAGTGAATAGCTCAGTTTTCCCTTTAGAGTGTGATAATGATCTCTGGTGATTTGGAACTCACATTTGAGTCTCTGGTGTCTTCAGAGAGTTATCCTCAAAGGCAAACAATAATAAGACTGCAATGTTGCTGTAGTGTATCAATGACTATATTTATTGCAATAAGATTAATATTTATTTCGGGGGGTAAGGTTTTGACTTATGTGAGCTAATCTGATGTAATGATTTTCATTTACCACTTGAGAACATTTTACTTTCTAAAGTTAGGTTGTACTCACAAACTATAGTTGAGAAACTAGACAGAGGTAGTTGGCAACCATCAGATGAAGGTGAATAACTAAGTTTTTTTGGTCTGTTCAGTGTATGTAAACAGACACTAGGATTGTTATTTTCTTACTCCATGTAGAAAAAAATAAATTCCAAGTGGATTAAAATCTTAAACATTCTTCCACTGTGTAAAAACCTTTTGAGTTTTTACTGTTGTCTTTATTTTCCTTTTAATAAGGGTGTAGTCTCCGAAGACATTCTAATCATCAATATCATGAAATTATGGCTGATATTTTCTCCCGTATATTTTATTGTTTCAGATCTTACGTTTAAGATTTTAATTCATTTGGAATTTATTTTTTCTGCATGGAGTAAAAGAATAATCCAACATCATTCTTATGCACATGTCTGTGCATTTT